AAACCCCCCCCCCCCCTCTTTTTATGTTTGTGTTCCCATTCACACAGTATATCTAAAATATCATTTTAAAATATTGCTTCCCTTTCTCGTTGTTTTGTTTGGGCAGGATTATGCATATGGCACTACAGGAAGCTTCTGTTGCTTTAGAATTGATAGTAATATGCAGATATGGGATAGAGAGAGGTTTTTTTTAAATGCATTAACATACAATGTAGCGCTGAAGTCTTGAGATCTTTAACCCTTTCTTAGAACAGACAGTGCACACATTTTACAACTGATAATGGAGATCTGCCAGCATAGTACAGACCGGGTTAATTATGGCAAATCTAATGCCTTAACATTACAGCAAAGGGAAAAGTTAAATTAGAGTTTTCAGCAAGTAAAAAAGTAAGCAGCAACTTTTAGATATTGTTAACGTTATTTTATGTGAATGAGAACATGTAAGGATTATAAAATGAAATACACTTCAGCACATTTGCAATGTACCACTACCTAGTGCCTCCTAAATGTTGATGCATGTTTTGTATTACCTGATTTGTGACATGTTAGTGCTTTGTTCTCTGTTTGCACAGGAAGAATTGGAGACGTTGGAGAATAATCTATTTGTTCAGCAAACCTCCCTCCAGGCGCAGCGACAGCAGCAGGAACGCGTGGCTGCATCTGTTACAGGGCAGATGTATCTAGAAAGCCAGGTTAGTGCTGTCATTAATTATCCAGTACAGTCTGCCTCTTCCATATCCTTCTTCTCTCCACATCTAAACCATTCACTCATGTATATCTATATTAATCCTAGTACAGATTTAAATGCAGCATATTTGTAAACAGAGTGACAATGTTTTTATTACTTTCTGCACCTTCTGTGGATATAAAGTCCACAAATCCCTGTGAAAATGCCAGGTTTTTGAGATGTAAAAAAAGTCAGATCAAGATGAATCCACCTTTTAATGTGACCTATAATCTGTGCAATTCAATTAAAAATACAAACTGATCTAGTTATAATAATGTGGCTGCATTAGTGTACACACCCTCTTATAATTAGGGATGTGGCTGTGTTCAGAATTAACTAATCACATTGAGGGCCGGTCCACACCACAAAGTCTGCGTTTCAGTGTGTTGGGCCTCTGGAACGCAAGCCAGCCAGCTCCCTGCGTTCAGGGGTGGGGGGGACGTGGCGGTGCATTGAATTCAATGGCACAGCAGCCACGCCCGCCGGTGCGATCGCCCGTACCCGGAACATAGGCAAATTAGTGCCTGCGTTCCAGTCCAGTGCGATCTGAAAAAATACTGCAAGCACTATTTTTGCAGCTCGAAGTTTGTGGTGTGAACCGGCCCTTAGTCAAGGTGGAAAAACTTATGAACAGTTCCAAACATCAGTCAATTTTGGCACAAAACCTTCAGGCCTCTGCTAAAAATCTGAAGATGAATTTCACATTTCAGCACGATAACGACCCAAATCATACCTTCAGATCAACAAAAGAATCGCTCCACCAGAAGATCAAAGTTTTGCAATGGCCCAGCCAGAGCCCAGACCTGAATCCAAATGAAAATCTGTGGGGTGACCTGAAGAGGGTTGTGCACAGGAGATATCCTCGCAATCCGACAGACTTGGAATGCTTTTGCAAAGATTCCCAAGGCAAGATGAGCCATGCTGATAGACTCCTATCAAAAAAGGCTAACAGGTATATTCACAAAAGGGTGAAGAGTTTGGAGAAGGCAGGAGAAGAGAAGAATCTAGGACAAAATAGCTGATTTGGAAAAAAAAATCTTCAATTCAGCTCACCTTTCAGTACAGCTATGTTGTCCTAGATTGTTCACTTCTCCTGCCTTCTGCAAACTCTTCACCCTTTTGTGAATAACCCTGTAAATGCTGTCATAAAATCAAAAGGTGCCTCAACAAATAATTTGTTTAAGGGTGTGCATATTTATGCAACCACATTATTATTTTTTTATTTTCCCCCTTCAAATATTTCAGTTTGTTTTAGTTGAATTGTACAGATTATAGGTCACAGTAAAAGTGGAAAAAATCTGTAGTGATTTTTATGTTGGTCTAATTTGTTTTTTTTACATCTCCAAAACCTGGCATTTTGCAGAGGTGTGTAGACTTTTCATAGCCACTGTATATGTCTGAAAAGCTGGCTGCAGCATTTTCTTCACATGAAGTGTGTGTCATCAGACTCAGTGCTGTAATATGGAAAGTACTGTCAGTGGAACAGTTTTACAAAGTATCACATTAGAGAGACAATATAACTGTACAGGCTGTGGTGAGAAGGGACTAAAGCAAGCAAAAAGCCCTCCAACTGAATCAGTGCATAGTAAATCCTTTTTATAACAGATGGTATTCGTATGTCTCATTCCATCACATATCCTCCCCAAAATAAAGATTATTCCTCATTTCAGGGCAGTGGGCAAATCAGTCCTTTATGCCCCATCAGCTAAGTCCACATCTAAAACTGTTGGTGTATAGTGCAAATATTGCTTCTGTGCTTAGAAGGCTTTACTGTGCTATGCATTGATTCATTTGGGGGGCTTTTTAATTGCTTTAGTTCCTTCTCACTATGACCTGTATAGTAATTCTGTCTCATTGGGTCCCAAACCCTACTCCATAGAAGCCATGGATTCCGTATTACACTGATGATGGCCAGAATGCATGAAATAGCTGTATGCAGTTTGGAATAAATGGCTCTATAATAGGCTGTATTTGCACTATACACCAGCAGTTCTGCATGTGCATCTGACCAAAGGAGTGTAAAGCAATGATTTGCATGGCACTGCCCACTGTCCTGAAATTAAGAATATTCTTCTTCATTTTGGGTTATGTGATGGCAGGAGACATGTAAATACCTTCTAGTCTTAAGAAGCACTTTACTGTGCTCCTTCACTCCATCTAGTGGCAGTAGTGTGTTGCAAGCGCGTTAAAAAACAGCCCCTGTGTGTTCTTCCCAGTGGGTGTGTGGTATGTCTGGATTAACAGCGTGTGTGCAGCCTTTGGGGGCAGTTGATTAGCTGCATTGCCTTTTGGTCTCTTTTGGACTAATGCTATAGGAAATGCAGGCAATCTGTTCTAATGTTTTATCAATCCCCAGGGAGGTGAAAGGATTGCTTCTTCATGCATATTTGTTCTTTCTACTGTGGGCTGTACCATAGGTATTGCAATGTGATCACTACTATAGCTCCCTTGTAGTGAAACCACATTTACGTTGCACTTGTCTGAGGTAGAGCTTTCCACAAAACATTTCGTTTTTTCTAGGAACTCTTGCGTCTGTTTGGCATCCCATATGTTGTTGCCCCTATGGAGGCAGAAGCTCAGTGTGCAGTTTTGGATCTAACTGACCAGACTTCAGGGACTATCACAGATGACAGTGACATCTGGTTGTTTGGAGCACGGCATGTCTACAAAAATTTCTTTTCTCAGAATAAATATGTGGAGTACTACCAGTTTTGTGATATTCAGAATCAGCTAGGTAAGTCATTTTACAAGCCATAGGTGCCAGTGAATTAGAGCTAAATTACTGATGTCTGATCAGAACTCAAGTGGGGTTGTTTTGGCAAAATGACAGTAGAGAGCTAGTATTTTCCCCAATGCAATCAGTGTTTTTATTTCTTACCTGCACTAAAAAAATCTGACCTGAGATCTCAGTGGTTGCTATGGACATTCCAGACATATTTCTGTATTCCAGCTTTTATAATTTAAATAAAAAAACATAGGCATTTGTACATTTTAGGATCATACATTTAGACTATAATGTTCCTGGTAGGGTGACAGTGACCCTCAAAAAGCGTATTCAAACAAAACAAAAAAAGAGGTGAAGAAACAGCGGGAGAACGTTTATGGTGTAGTATTAGGGAGAAATAATCACAATAAAAGTTGGTATTACGGATATATAACTTGCGTAGATGAGGTTGCAGGTGGCCATAGGGAGATGGTTACTGCAACGTGTGTAGTGTCTGTGCAGAATACTTCCAAGCAGATGTAGTGGTGGTCGATCTTGATGCTCTAGGGATCCCATCAAAAAACTGACCAAGCGAGGAACTTAGGAATGGTTAGGTAAATTAAATGGGTGTAGAACAAGACCCATAGATTTGTTGTGCTGCAGAGGTCCATTGTGTAGGCTGTTGATGAAGGCGGTCCAATGGCAGTAAAGTCCTGATATTGAGAGTACACATGCCGCTGATTGCTGTCAAGCCGCAGCAGCCCAAGTGACTGTATCCACACTATATGTCTGAGGAAGTGACTTGGAGTCCCAAAATGTGTCCTTTCTATTTTACTCAATAATGGTGTTATAATAATAAATCTTTTTTTATCAAGACTTTACTGCCATTGGACCTCCATTAACCCCGTACACAACTGTCTTGTTCCACATCTATTCCATTTTAGGATCCTCTTCTGACCTACTAAATTTTATTTGTTGAGTAATCATCTTGGTTTTCATACAGGAAAATGAAAACACAAGAAGTAATATATAGTTAGCCAGGTTGAAAAGACACATGCACGGTAATGGAAATAGATGGATGGCACCTAACATAAAAGATAGTTCTCAAGCTAAAGTGCTTATTCATTATATGATCCCTAGTAACTGTCCATTTCATAAAACTACAACAGTATGTATCCAGTCAGCATCATCATATAATTTATTTCCCTTTTTAGTACACAGTATTCCTTTAAAATAATCCTAGAGTACTCTGTTATCCAGGGCTGAATGTATACAACTATTATACAAGTACATGAAAGTGAACTATAACTAAAGTCAATATTATCATAATCTTATTTTTAAAGATGCACATTTCTTGGTTGTTCTCATCATCCTAGAACCATAAGTGAGTCATTTATCTGGTACAAATAAACAGGTTGAGAGTTTAGTGGTTTCAGAGTGCATGCTTGTTCCATCATCATGACATATTAGGCAATAAAGCCTTGATCAGGCAAAGAACAAAACCATGATGAGAAACCCAGAGCCTGCACCTATTAAAATATGGCAGCCCCTATTTCTGTCATTGCTTTAAAGCCTACAGAAATTCTGTATACCGTATACTGTAGGTAGATTTGTTTTTAATATATTAAATTCATGTATGTCAGATGTTTATTCTTTGACATGAGGATAATGATATCCAGTGTTATACCATTCTGTCAAGCTTTGAATTTAACCTGTCTTAGTTAGTAGGGCATAGATATCAGTTATCAGAAGGTAATCTGGTTAAGGCTAACAGCTGTTATACAAATGTTACTGTTGTACTAGTGTTAATCCTATTTAATGTTGTGTTATTTTGCTTTACATATTGTTGTGTGTGGTTTATTTTACATGATGTTACCTTTGTTCATTCAATAATTAGGACTGAACTTCCTTATGCTTTATTTTTGTATATCTGATATTATGGGCCATTTTGGTACTCGCTCTGTAGATTTAAGAGTTTGTCTTCATTTTCACATTAAAGACATAAGAAGTAACATAAATGAATGTGCTATTAATGGCTATACTATGCATGAAATCTGCCAGCTCACCCAGCACTACCTATGTGATGAGATATCTGCATCCTTGTTTCTGTTAAAATGTGCATTAATGCTGTCGTTTACAGCAGTTAAGGTCTATAGAATCATATGAATTCTGTGGAGAAAATACAAGCATTATGCACTGAATTGTCCCTAGAACATAGGGGTCTGTTTTTAAACAATTTGCCGGGCCCTTCACCCTGCTGTGAATGTTCCTTTTGTGCAAATAATACATCATGGTCACTAGATGGAGCGGAGGGGTAATGGTAATGGAAAGAAATACTTCTATCCTATGCTCCTCCGCTCCATCTAGTGGCTGTCATGTATTATTACAACAACACACTACATTCTATCTGGGAAACTCCATAGTGGCCCTAATGTATTATTATTATTACAACACTACATTCAAACTGGTAACATATATTAAAAATATTTGTTTTTGATATTATTCTCCCAAAACGAATGTTCACAGATATTCAAAGGGCCCTGCAAATTGCTTATAAATAGACCCCACAGAGTGTTAGAGCCTATGATTGCTCATGTGTAATGCTAACCCTTTGTCAGGTGCAAGTGCATACGTTGTTAATTCCTCCAAACAGTATTTAATACTTAGCTCAAGCAGAACATTAGCAAGTGTATGGATGAGGTAAATATGGCACCTTAACATTTGGTGCTTTGACTGCACTGCACTAAACTAGAGATGTTGGCATAAAGGAAGCACATTATATAGACCTAAAAAGGAATCTCTTATTTTATTTTACAATTTTCATTTTTATGGTATCCGGTTGTACAAAACATCATAAAGTTCGTTGAAAGTTGACCTGCTTGTGTTTCTCTACTCCTCCAGTTAAACATTTTTTTTTTTTTTTAAACATTTACACACTGCAACTATTATGCCTTATTTTATGCTGAGTGTGTTTCTGTGCTTCCTGCAGAATATGTAGAAAGTGGAGCAGTTTGTGTTCTGTAGAATTCCTATAGACATGGCGAGTGCAGTTCCTGTGTAAAACACACTGCAGTCAGCAAAGTCTGGACTCTTGCCTGCATCACCGTGCCTGTCATGGACTTTGCTGCTACTCGCCAGCTTACCAGTCACTTCCAAGTTGTTCAGAGTTCAGGTTACCACCCTCGATCCTGATGGAATCCCAGAAATTTTAGCCTTAAAGATGAAATGAATACACTGGAAATCTATGCCACATATGAAAGGGCACGACTAACTACAGGTTCTGATAAGTCATTGACATTGCCTAAATAGTACGATCTACAGGAGCAGAGAGCTGGTTTTGTCTTGTCCACATTTTGCAGAATTGAAACTCTGGTCCACTATAAAGAGTATGTATGTTCATCGCTTACTAATTATAAAAAGCATAATCAGGACAGCCGTGCTTCTCTGTCTTTAAAGGTTGAAGGATAAACTATAGTGATAACAATCGGTTGTATTGTACTGTTCAATTAAGGTGAACTTAAGGGTTACTATATGTTCGCAAAAATAAAGGTCATACTTTTTGGGGTGTATTTATTTAAAAAATTGTAATTTGTCCTGCCAAACGTAATTTACACTTATTCCTTGCGAATGGAGGTAAAATCAATGTTGTTTGTTAGTATATTTTCTTTACAGGTCAAATATATCAGGAAAATACCACATTATGGCCACTAGATGAAGAGCATAGGAAAAAAAATATGTATTTCCTATGCTCCTCCACTCCACCTAGTAGCCATATTGCACTATTTTCCTGATATTACATTTGACCTGGAAAGAAAATATACGAATAACATTCCTATTTGCACCTATTCGCACAGAATGAATGCAATTTCACAGGACGAATAGCTCTGCAATTTTTATTTATAAATGCACCCATGGATATATTTTCTTGCAATGCTTTGGTATACTGCTTTATTGCTAAATCTAGATCAGGTTATCTTGGTCACTAAATGAACCTTATCTTTGTGTAACACTCAGGCCTGGAACGCTCTAAACTTATTAATTTAGCTTACTTGATGGGCAGTGACTATACAGAAGGAATATCCTCTGTTGGCTTTGTGTCTGCCATGGAGATACTGAATGAATTTCCTGGACATGGGCTCGAGCCTCTGCTGAAATTTAAGTAAGTCGTTTCTCTTTATGGTGAATGGTGAGTACATGAAAACATTTGTTCCATATAGACACGATTTCCGCAGGTTTATTAAAGGTTATAAACTGATATGTTTAAATGTTTTTTCATCATTTTACAAATAAACTTTTTAATTTGGGGTCCTTTCATGTTACTCTATTGTTAAAGCATGATTAAATTTCCACTTGCTGACCTAGCCTTGAACAGAAAATCCAAACTGGCATCCCCTGTACTTGTAGTGAGGAAGGGGGCTGGCTCATTCAGCTTTGTGTGTGTGTGTGTAATCCTGCTGAACATCACACAACGCAAACTATTCACAGCATAGTAATAACCATCCGCTGCCTCATGTTATCGAAATAAGAGGTATTGAAGCCCAACACCGGGACGGAGGAAAAAAAAAAACTTTTGCACTGGGGTCCAACCGGCACTGCGTAGGTTGCCTATCTTAAACCTCTCTTCGGCGCTCTCCTCTTCTCTCTATGATGCTCAGGGCAGATTTAACAATCATTTAACCCTTTCATTGTAGGGTAGGGGGGTTACTGGAAGGTTATTTGTTTATATGAGCACGTATGTATGTTTATGCAGTAATAAAAAGGTTGCAGGCAAGATTAACCACCTCTAAAAGACGCAAAGACTGCAGGTTTAGGCAAACTCTGACCCTCCAGCTGTGGTGCAACTACAAATTCCACTAGGCATTGCAAGACTCTGACAGCCACAGGTATGACTCGCAGAGGCACAATGATATTTTTTTAGTTTCACCACAGCTGGAGGGCCAGATTGTACCTACCCTCATTTTAGTATGATGATTTTCTTTTCATAAGGATTTAGAGGACCTGTTGGCAAGACACACAATTCAACAGTATGCATGAGAAGGGGAGAATCTGCTTACCTTTGTATTGATTGTTGTACTTGAATGTGTAATTTGGGGCCTAAAGCAAGAGGTAAAGCCTGAGTGCATCATAATATTGCTCTTTTGTAATTTTTACCCTATCTAATCATCACACACAATACCCATTTTGATTCACCAATTAACCCTTACTAAAAAAAAACAAAAAAAAACATCAGCTATCTGGACTACATTAGTTCTTTAAAGGGCCAACCCATCAGTGGTAGACATTTTATATGTTATGGGGAGTACTAAAGGGCAGGTTCCCGAGCTCTTCTGCAACTGTCGTGCTTTTCCTTTCTTGATAGAAAAGTGTCACCTTTCACCGCATTCCCTGTGATATAACTAAAAAAAAAATTGCAGTTATGCTTTCCATATACATGGCATGTTTATGGCTATCGTAACCAGCTTTTAAGGATAATAAGGACTGAATGAATGAAGGCACTCTACTACCAGTTTACATATTAATTTTTCAATCTACTTTATATCACAGAAAAACAGGTTTCTACTGGCTTAAATGTTCTGTCGGTATGGCTAGCCTTAATGAGACCTCCTTGTGATGAGTGCAGCACATGAGGGGACCTGGAAATTCAGATATGGAGATCTTTCTGCCAGATTTTTCCAGCAAAGCAGACCCATAGCTTAGCCTGGAAGAATTCAAATACAGGTTTCTGGTGCACCAATCTTTTTAATACGACTGCAATAATCCAGCAGAAGATCACACAAATTGGAGAAAACCCAATCCCACTTCCTTACCCACCTTACAGGATTTGTTTTGAAATAACCTAGACTTACCCCCAAACTTCACTCTTCCCTGTAGTTCATGTCCCAGCATCAACTTTTTTTTTTTATCCGATTAACCGATTAATCGAACTTAATAATCGGCCAACTAATCGATTATGAAAATAATCATTAGCTGCAGCCCTAGAAAGAAGTCAGTGTTTGTGTAGAGGGACAGAGGTGGGTAGAGGGTAGGAGGTGCTCTGTTAGTCCACCAGACAGGGCTGGCCACCCTGTTTGGAATTTCAGAGCAGAAAAGGTACTGTTATTTTTTTCCATTTAAATAGAATAATAGCATTAACAGTATGTATACTTTTTTTTTTTAGAGAATGGTGGACAGAGGCCCAAAAGAATAAGAAAAGTAGACCTAATCCAAAGGATACTAAAGTAAAGAAGAAACTGCGTGATCTAGAGCTACATCCTAGTTTCCCTAACACGGCAGTAGCTGATGCATATCTAAAACCAGTGGTAGATGAGTCAGAAGGAGTTTTTTCCTGGGGGAGGCCAGACCTTGAACAAATCCGAGAATATCCTTTACTGTATTACTAAGTGATATTGTTCTAATGAATACTGTAAGTGGTTCATCTATGATTCAGTGCAGAGATAATACAGAAACGATACAATATAAGAAAAAAGACCCACAAATCCTTTTATGTTCTTGCACCTCATTTATAAGTATTGGGGTTTTGTGCTTAGTGTTTACCAATTCGCTGTGGTATATAACGCATAGTTTGTATAACAACAATTCATGGTTTATGAACAGAAAAGGCTGTGAAAACATCGATAAAGAGCATGTATTTTCTTCAAAACTATTTCATGACAGAGATTCGACAACATTGTAACCACAACCCTCTGCAATTATGGGTTTCCCTATCATCTATAACTCTAAAGTGGCTCTTTTGTTATATAACAAATTGGTAATGATTAATTAAATTAACTAAATCTAAAATCGTTCAAATGCTGCTATTTTCTTAACCACAAATACATTCTGTGAAAGCCGCTTTGGTTGGTATCGCTCAAAGACAGATGAAGTGCTTTTACCAGTACTAAAACAGTTAAATGCCCAGCAGGTAAGCCTGGACAATTTGTTTCCACAACTTTTTGATTCATGTTAAAGCAAGAGTATTTGTCACACACTGAAAACTTGGTGATGGGGTGGGATCTGTTTGCTTTAGTAATGGACAGACTGGCTACATTTGAATAAGTCAATTAAAATTGATTTGTGTTCTTTAATTGATATTTTCATTATAAGCATTTTAAATGTTTTCCTCATGTCGTTCTGTGTTTGTCCTCAGACCCAGCTCCGAATAGATTCTTTTTTACGCATAGAGCGGCATGAGGCCCACACTCTGAAAAGTCAGAGGCTGCGTAGGGCTGTAACCTGCATGAAGAGGAAGGAGAAGGACAGCGAGACTGCAGAAGTAGAGGAAGCCACTGCCCTTTTGGAGAAAGATGATGGAAACCAGAAAGGAGCAAAATCTTGTAAAAGTGGTAAAAAAAAACTGAGTAAAAAGATGAATGAGGCTGAACCAGAAAGTCCTAATACTGTGTGTGTGGAGGGGGGGTTTATTGGCTCCGGTTTAAGACCCATGTCTCCTGATAATAAAAACTCATCTACTAGCTCTGACAGTGACTCAGAAGCAAACTCAGATGCAAGATGTAACAGGGGACCAAAAACAAGCAAAGACAGCATGGCTGCCCCACTTTTAAAGAGAGATAATGTAGAGACAAGCAGCTCGAGTGAGAATGAAGAGAAGGTGGTGCTTGTGACTGCCAAGCCAGTGTTTCAGGGCAAGAATAAAAAGCCAAGAACTGTGAGAGGAAGAAAGAGATGAATCTGGGAATATGTATAACTTATTATTGTGTTGTGTTTGAATTTTGTAGTGAAAATTATATAATGAAATTTTGCATTAATTATAGATATTGTTGTCTTGTTTCTGCTCCTATTTCTGTTGCTGCTTTTTGGGGCAGGATCATTGAGGGCTCTTTCACACCAGTTGTGGTGACCGGCTTCTTTCCACACTGGATCAATTCAGTAAACGGAGCGTTGTGTAGAACTACACACCGCTGCCACCCAGCAGGCACCAGCCACATACTAAAACAAAGCACTTTAGCATAGGGCTGGTGTAAAAGGGCCCTAAAATTATTTTATTGTGTCAACTGTCACAGGTATAATTTCTGTATGTCAGCTAATTAAATAAATACAGCTATGGTTCTCTTAAAACATTATGATAGAAAATTATTTTCTTACTATAGTTGACTTCTGACATATAATAATTAATTTAGCGCCTTCAAATTCTTCCTCTTCTTTGCTTTGTATACATGCAAATGTATAAAAGGCAATTGTGCTGTAACGTATTATTGTACCATGCACAGAAAGAAGTTGTCCAATCTGTTCAAAAGTGACCATCAACCCTGAGGTCGGGTAATTTAGGCTGAATGCTGTTTCATTCAAGATGAGTTTTAACCCCTGGCCTCCCCTCAGGAAATGTCTTTTTTTTTTTTTTTTCTTTTCGTACTTTCCATTTTACTACCCCATACACACTAATTTGACCCCTAAGGTCCAATAAAACAATTCTCTAACATATAATTGTAAAAAATGGGATCATTTAATGCCATAATCTTTCCTATTCTTCCCGCAGAAGATTTATCTGTTGACATTGTTTTTAAGTTTAGATTTTTAAATAAGCATATTGAAACCAAGATACAAGGAGTGTTTGGCTATTCTAGCTCATTCATTGGCCTTAACATGCTTAGAAGATTCAAGCTTGCTTTGTATAGAACAGTTGGAAAAAATAGTTCAACAGTCAGGTCATCACTTTTATTAGGTTCCTTACAGTTTACTCTAGGTTCCTTTTTCATCCCCATCCAATGTGCACAGCTTCCATCCACTGGTGCCATGTTAAGAATTTCAGACGTGTTGTTGTGAGCTGAATGACAAGAAGGGCAAGAGTTCCGGCTCCCAAACAGCCTGTGTGTCTATGCTTCCAGAAGACTGTCTTCCCGGGTTTGCAAACAGGGGAACTGCAGACTCTTCCATACACCGGGTCTCATGCTTCAGACACTGAGGTTTTACATGTCATTATAAAACTTCTATCATATTGCCTCTCAAAGGTTCAGAAATATGTCATCTGAATTCTATGGATAATTTAAGAAAAGATGAGTGATTCAGCCTGCTTACTAGGTGCATCTAGTTACCAATTAGTACCATTTAGTACTAATGCATTTGGCAATGCATCGGTAGTTATCGACCTCTAAACAGATCCATAGAAGGAAGTAAGAAGGAAGTAAGTGTTCTTTAGAAGGAAGTAAGTGTTCAACCACATACTTTATGATTAGCGGTTACATAACAAAGTTCCAGATTAAAACGGCTTAGCATTTGCAAAGCAGCATTGAAATAATGATTGTATAGGGCAATTGTATAGGGCAATATAACCCTAGTTGCCCTATACAATCATTATTTCAATGCTGCTTTGCAAATGCTAAGCCGTTTTAATCTGGAACTTTGTTATGTAACCGCTAATCATAAAGTATGTGGTTGAACACTTACTTCCTTCTAAAGAATTCTTAACCTTCCTGATGTTGTATTCAGAATATTTTTTTCTGGAAAAATCACGAAAGCTTCAGTCACATGTAAAGAGGATAGAAAAGTAGTTCTCTGTAACCACAGCTTAACATGTTTATTTTGATGCTGTGTCTGGTAAGGCATAGATTATTGTGCTGTTGTGCATACATGACAATATGCATTGGAGTTGCATGTCCTCGAACTTAAAATGCTTATATTTATAAAGTATACACTTAATGGTTCCTAGAAGAAAAAGAATATCAGTGGTGCTAATACTTGATGTAATCTTCCATTTTGTATTTAATGAGGAAATCCTTTTTGTATTATTTATACATAACCTGTAAAAAAGATGCATGTAATATTTTACTGAAACTTTTTTTTATTTGCTTAATCCTTAGTCACCGCTTAGTCAATGTTGAATCACCACTATGCTTTTTAAATATAGTTGTATACAAATTAAATGATACAATATTTCTGAACTTTATGCTTGATAATATGAAATGTTTAACTTATGTCTGTGTGTGCCTACTGTTCTGTATAGATATACACCCTCTTGATTTACATTTGTCCCAATTAAATTGAAAAGGCCTTAAAAGCTACTCTCTCTTTTGCAACTCACTACTATTACATGGTATTGTTATTAATATGGGATACTATTACATTGACCAATGGGAGTTTTGAGCTCAGGTTTTGCAGGTAACCTGATTTGGGATGACGCCGCTCACATCCTTTGGTCTATTTTTTCCTCTCACCCTTTTTTGTAACTATTTTTTTAATTTCCACTGAAATTTGCTATGTCCTCCCAATAAAGAAATAAGTGAAAACTGAATTTTGTGTACTGCTCATTACATCTGTTTCTCAATTAACTTATTGGGGACCTTGTTTGTTTCTGGTTGTTCCTCTCTTTGTACTACTGCTAGCTTTTCACTGAATCTTTTCCTCCTTCCTGGCTAGGGGTTATAGCTCCAAGGGAACTTTTACTTGATGTTCATCCTCCTGAAGGCAGGACTAAAAGCCCTGAGGTCTGCTGTTTCCCCACTTAAGTAACTGGCAAGTACAAAAAATCCCATTTGGTTTCCTTTAGTCATTTACATCAATCTTAAGGTGGCCGTACACCTTACGGTTATCGTACAATTTTTTTCATCCTGTCATTGAACTGTCGTCCACGTTCGGCTCAAATACCCTATCTTGCACAGACCAATGTGGATTTCGATTATCGTTCGTTATCAATACTAACTGATTTTCGTCAATTGACAGAATGGATTTTCGTTTGCGCATGTCCAGTGTTCATGTTGCGTTTTATTTTCGTACAAAAACACCACTAATCCATCAATTTTTGATATGATTCTAAAAAAAAGTTTTCCAGCCTGACCGATCGAGGAAATTCGGGCAGTTGTACAGTAATACTGATTGTTCGCTTCCCATCAACTTGCTGATTTATCGTACGAAAACCCAATCTCGTTCGGAAATTTAATGATAATCGCAAGGTGTATGGGCACCTTTTAGGCTGGTCAGTATACACTGTTGTTTTTGCAGTAAAACAATGGAGAGTGACGAAGGTTAGCCAGTCATTTATAAGCGAACAATTTCTATTTGTGTTTGGTATTTCTGTATTGTAAATTGGTACAATGCATTACTGGTAATAAGTATGGAAAACATTTCACAAGTAGAATTGGTAGGCTCTCTAGAGCCACATAACACAATTTAATTTTTGCATTTATTTAGCTATCTTCACAGGAGGTGGACATATTTAGGTACCATATTAATTACTGCTGACACACTAGATGTACACTGAGTGGCCAGATTATTATGACCACCCCATCAGTACTTCGTTGGGCCACCTTTTGCCTTCAATACTCCGGCGATTCTTCTTGGCATTGACTCCACGAGATGTTGAAAGGTGATGATTTGCTAATAGTTCATCTAGCTTATGATCTTCTGTTCAAGAGGCTGATGCAGCATTGCTTGTGACACTAAAAAATAGTATGCTTTTGTAAAGAGATAACTTTTTCCCAAGATTAAATGTAGAGCTGGATTTAAACAGTTTTTTGGCTAATGATTAATATTATGACTTTTTATTAATTATGGATTTTAAACATGTTTAGATTTATTCCCTTTAGGGTGAATAGGTATTATTTAATCCATTTTATGATTATTATGATGACCTTCTATTAGGCTTTTTAAAAATGGTGTTGATTATTACAGGTAGTACTGGATTTTAAACTAGTTAAAGGAGAACTATGACATGAGTGATTTCCACTCACCTCATAGTTCTAAGCCGACCTGTGACAATGAGACTTGTCACAGGTCGGCTCAGTAGATCGGGAGGTGAGAGAACACATACCGGGTTCCCTCACCTCTCGATCCTGTCACGGCTCTCTGCCGTGACAGGGGGAGGGGCTGGATTCCCCTCTCCCCGCTCCGATCTGCCAGCGCTGACTGGCGGAACGGACGGGGGAGGGGGCGGGTACAGCTGGCTCTGCCTCTAGATAGGCAGAGCCAGCTGTCACTCACGCAGCTGGGCGGATCCCGTCATCTAAGTCGGGATCCACTCCAGGTGCGGCGTCTCAGTATACCGCGAGCTGTAGCTCACGGTATACTGAGCTTAGGGTAACGGGAGGACGCTAGTTTGTGTCCTCCCGTTACCCCAAGGAGAACTATGGGGAAAAACACTGACCCCATAGTTCTCCTTTAAGAATGAGTTGTATAGGATTTTGAGTGACCTCTAGTGGCCACTTTCTATTATTATAATTGCTATGGATGTAGACTTCCTGTCATATGAGTGACCTCTGGTGGCCACTTTTATTATTACAAAGGATTTTGATATAGACTTCCTGTCACAAGAATGACATCTAGTGGCCACTTTGACTAGTACATTTTCTATGGATGTAGACTTCCTGTTACATGAGTGGTCTCTGGTGGCCACTTTTATTATTGCAATTGCTATGGGTATAGACTTCCTGTCACATATGACAGTTTCCTGTTTAGGAGAGATATAAGGAGAGTAACAAGTAACCTCAGTACGTCTGCACTTTCTTGAAAAAGTATTTGTACGAAACGCGTCAAAAGAAGTGGACACGCACTGAGGTTGGGCCACGCTAAGTTGGAAGGAGTTTAATTGTGTGATTATTCGACTGGCTTGTTCATGACGTATTGGAATATTTTTTAAAAAGCGATTGTTTCTGGGAATCTTGCAAGTGTTTTTAAAAAAAAATTTTGAAATAAAAACCTGTTTTTGGCATATTACACTGTTTTTTTTATCCTCTCTGGGATACGGATACGTTTTTTTAAACGACCACACCTGAACCAGAAGCTTTCTTGTGAAAGAGCACAGAGTGGAGGAGCAAACGCTCACTGTGATTGCGATGCAGGATTGTTATGCCTCTTTGAATATGGAAGTCTGGTGAGTGCGGTGTGTTTCACACTCACCGGGAGTTTGCACACTACAGCTATAAGGCCGCATTCACACATAGCGATATATCGCGCATTTTTGCCGCGCGATATCGCGAGAAGTCGCCGGCCAATGATATTCAACGGAGCTGTCTTAGCTCCGTGTCGCTCGTCGCAGTCGCAGGTCGCTTCTACAGGACCCTTTTTTCGGCGGATTTTGCTTTTTTCTATGGAGCCCGACAGAGAAGGTCGTGCTACCGTCGCTGGAACGTTGCCCCGAAAGTCGCGCTATTCCGGCCGCTGCAAAGGTTAGTCGCTACATGTGAATGGGGCCTAAGAAGGACTTATCACTGATGTTTTTTTTATATCTTGGCAATTTTTAACTTTTTTTTCCCTTCTTTTTTTTTTTTGCATCAATTTTTGGTGGACTTTTAATTACCAATTTGCACCTAATCTCTACTGGAGATATTACAATGAGAGACACGTTTCACTATTTATGAGTATTTATTAATTATATTGGTTATATGTGATTTATTTGATATTTAGTACTATATTATTAACGTATTATGATTATTGATTAGCGCAGTGCATTTGTTTGATATAAGTGTATGTATGTATGTATGTACATATTAAGTAGTCCTTATTTAGTCTATAGTGGCCCCTCTACTCCCTACAATGTGTCTTGCTGTAGTCTCAACAGAACAGAAAAAAGATGTGTGAAAGCTTGCTACTTAATATACATCTACTGATTCCATTTGAAACTATGAGGTATTGGTGTTACTTTGGGCTGTTTGCTTTTGTTAATTATTAAAATCTTTTTTTAATTTTTTTTTTATTTCAGTCCATTAAGTCACATGGATCCGTTTAATTTTACAAACTACTGGTAACTTGAGGCAGACCATAATTCTGTTTCAGTGAGGTGTCTATTTAGAAGAACAGAAAAAGTAATTTGACTTGGTGATGAAATGATTCATTTCTTAAGAAACGCATGCCTTTTTCAGGAATCTAATAGGCTTCTTACTATGTTCATTTGGAGAACCTGCATAAAATAAATGCCCGTGCTAAGTGTCTTACAGTCACTACATTTATACTTTAAAAGTCCAAATGTGATTTGGTGGGGAAGTAAGCAGAGATGGTGGAAGCTACCTAGCACAGGCTCAAGAGAATACAATCCTATTGCCCTTCTACTGACCCTGTTAGATGGTCTGTGAATGTTCTTGCATGGGATTACATAGAATTTAGATGAGGCAAACTGAGTTGACCTTATTTTAGCGCAGCTTCAGTGTTTACATGTTGACATTCATATCTCAGTGATTTGGTATCACTGGTTATCTAGAAATGCTCTTTGAAGACACACACATTTACCAACGGATTTATATGTAGAAAATTGATTAGGCATGGGCACCACATCCGTATACTCTAACAAGTAAGACAAAAAGTAGACAAAATATGTTGGACTTTAATGGCACCCAAACAATCAGTTTGTTAAAAATGCTTTATCCTTATTAAAACATATTGTTTAAAAAGGTTTTGTGTGTCGAACGAATAAACATATCACTATGGTGCATGCTTTGCACCTGCCTGAGAACTGGTCTCATTTGCCACCTTAGCCATAGCTGTTTGTATTTTTCAGTCCGTAACACATTCCAAAGATATCAAAATACATACAGTTCATAAATATCATATTCATTGTTGGCTTTACTTGTGGAAGAGATTAATATTTCAAAGCGTTTAGCAGATAATCATAATCTACTGTTTCAGCGTGAGATTCTCAGGGAGTACAAGTGAGTACAGGTGAGGGCATACAACAATGCAACAGTTCACTCTTGAAAAGGAAGGAAAAAGGTAAAGCCACCGAGCATACATATATTCTTATCGGTCGAAGGAAAAAATACCTTCAATAGAACTGCCCAGTGCAACCCACAATGTGGACTCCACTCCCCTCCTCAGAGATCTTATCAGCCTACTAGTACATGCCTTAGCTTAGTTGTGGTGAAAAGTCACTTTACAAAGGATACACAGTCACGTGCAAGGAGAATAAAGAGAAAAAACTATTTTTGTTTGCACATGATGGAAGTCGACAGAGCGTCACCCTATTTACTAAACTAAGGGAAAATTTGCTTGCAAAGTGAACATCCTATTTGCATTTAGTAAATCGACCTCCAAGTAGCTGTTTTAGGGCTCAATCACACGACTAGGCCAGCACACAGTGCTTAAGGCCTCATTCACACGAGTAACAGCCGGCCCGTACAGATCCGTGCTGCGTGCATGACCGTATTGGGCCATGAATGGGCCAGATCTGCGCTGTGTGCATGGCAGTATTGGGCCGCTCCCGGGAAGGACAGGTGCTGCGTATGATTGCACACAGCAGCCTGTCCTTCTCTATGGGAGTATGCGGCCATCCGCTCACCCGAACTGCATATCCGTGCCGGTGTCCCTGCTCGGACCCAGACAGGATCCATCCTGTCTGCGTACGAGTACGGACATGCAGTGCGGGTGAGCCTACGGCCGCGTACTCCTATTAAGAAAAGGGTGCTGCGTGCAATCACACGCAGCACCTGTCCTTCCTGGTAGCGGCCCAATACGGCCATGCACGCAGCACAGATCTGTACGGGCCGGCTGTTACTCGTGTGAATGAGGCCTTAAGCACTGTGTGCTGGCCTGTTCAGCTGTATTCATCACAGTAAAGCACTGACACTCAGCCACCACTGGTATGTTGACACATCCTTATGAAGTTCATACAAAGAGTATACATGATGTACACAGTGCAATAAGAAAAAACAAATTTAGGGAAAACTTTATTTTTTAACAAGCAAATGCAATCCTTACTTGCTCAGAGTGCTCTACAAAAGTATTCTTTTGCGAGAGCTTGGTTCTACTGTTTTTGTAATCCCAAAATGTGTAACATGTAACCTCTGTGAATGCATCCATTTCTTAATTATTATTTTTTTTTCTTTTTTTTTAAGCATTCTTTTCTGCACTTTGCATAACTTTTAATAAAGACTGCATTGAGAAAGTAAATGCCATGATTTATGTATAGCTGCAATCATAACATGTCTGTATCATTAAAGAATCAAATAAAATGCAGCAGAATTTCATGTACTGGGATACTTTTCTCTCCTCTAAGCTCTGATCAGTAATAGCAGTCTCAAGCAGAAATTAGCACACACGGCCTTTTTCTGGAATGTGGTGATGGGACATTTGTGTCCAAGTGGCAGCTGCCAGGGTCAGGATTCATTAAGCCTTGTCCATGTAGGGGAAACATCACCGTCACATTACCAGCGTGCAACTTACACTGAGTACACTGACTGCCTTTTGGAAGGAACAACCAAGGCCAACATCCAAAGTGTTTTTTAAAAAGGAATGTTTTTGTTATCCTGACACCCACATGGCTCCAAGTGCTCCAAGTACAAGGTAATGTCATTGTCATACTATTTATCTATAAGTCAGAAGCTGGAGATTGTTCTCTTCTGGAAAGCTTTTAATAGAGGTCACTTTTACTGAGTTACATAATCATGACGAGAAGAAACAGGTGATGGACTATAAAATCTTAACTAATGATATTATACAGTATTAATGTAACAAATCAAATGTTTTAGCAGCTAAGGCGATCCTGGATGGGCTGTTACCACCAGTAGAAGAGAATTAAAACATAAAAACTCATATGTTTGTTTTGGGGAGTTTTTTTTATTAGGGTTTCACTAACTTGCATTATATTATTATTTGAATGCTGAATGACATGGAAAATGTCCAGGCCCTGTAAAAATAATCTGGTCTATAAGAAAACTGCTGTCCGTGATCTCATAGGTACTTGGCATTTTGACACGCTAATGTCTCTCCAGAACTGAGGATACATTTTGAAACCTTTTTAAAGCAATAACTTTTTCACAATCAAATTCTATTTATATTTCCTATGCAGTTTGATTCTTTTTTTTTTTGCTTTATAAATGTATGAAATTCTAAACTTTAAATGGTTGGCAAAAATCAATTTCCCAACTGCCATTCAAATCCACTATATCTAAGACTCCGTTCATACCTAGGCGTTTTGTTGCTCAATGCTAAACGCGACAAAATTCTCAAGACAAGGTATTCCATTCGCTTGTCCTGAGCATAACAAAATCCTCAAGACAAGGAATCCCATTCATTTCTATGGCCCCTGTTCACACATGAGCATTTTGTTGCACAAAGTTTGCCATTAAGGCCTGACCTACACCTAAGCGACAGTGTGCTTGCACATAAAAAAACGCAAAATTTTTTCTGCACGTTTTTGTGCACATGTATTAAATTAAATACGCATGTTTTTATGAGCAGGTTGTGACACACTGAAGTAAATGGACAAAACACGCCCATATGTGCGTAAAAACGTATTGCAACACGTGTTTCCAAGTGTTTCCTCTTAAGTCTATGGGACCAAAATGAGCTAAGATCTGCCCCAAAGAAGCTCATGTACTTTTTCCAGTGACAGGCATTTTGCTTGTTGTGACAGAACGCTCAGGTGTGCACAGGGGCCATAAGAATAAATGGGACTTTTTTGGTGAAGCTTTTTGTCACACTAAATCGGCTGTGACAAAACGCTAAGTGTCAACCAGATCTGAAGTCTATGAGACCAAAAAGTGCTGTAACCTGCCAAAAAGTAGCTTGTGTACTTTTTCCAGTGGCTCGCAGCATAACGCTCAGGGGCCATAGAAATGAATGGGATTCTTTGTCTTGAGCATTTTGTTGCGCTCAAAAAAAGTGAATGGGATTACTTAAGCGTTTTGTCGTGCTTAGCTTTGAGCGACAAAATGCTGTGAACAGGAACTTATGGTTGCCATTTTACTTGTCAGAAAACTAAAAGTCATTTTCACTTTTACCAGCTGTGAAGATTAAATTACCAAATGGTGGACACTCCCTTCAGTAACATCAAAATGAGTGAGGAAAAAGGTAAGAGTAATATTTGTTTCCATTTCTGATAAGTATTTTTAGGTATCACATGGTTGAGAAAGCTCTGGACTAATGAACGGTTAATATCAAACTAAACCTGTTTTACTGTGGACCCTATGTATCTAACATCACACTGAATTATATTACGCTATAGTTAAACCAATGCTTAATACCATAAATTACTAAAATAAATGACTATACTCTGCATAAACCTTCCTGGTGCCCAGCTGACTAGGTTAAAAGGACTCTTCTTGATGTTAATGCAGTCATGTGACTTTCCCAGAATTCCATTATGGTGTGACAGGTGACCTCTGCAGTTCTGTAAACACATACTGATGCAGTGTGTGTTTCTCAAGGGGTTCTGTACAGTGGTGATGTCTGAGTTCCTTCAGGGGACATAGATTAATTTAATTAACATACATTGATTTGTTTAAAGATATATCGATATATTTGTTTATATACATAGTTATATAAATAGGCCTTTTCACTCAGAAACAGGTGTTGGCAATTTATAATGTTTACCATTGTGTGCTTTTTTATTTCAATGTAAAACATTGCATACCAATATATCTTACAATATTTGCTACTTGCAGGCAGCAGCTTATCACTACTTTACTACTTTGTTGTTAATAGGCTGTAATTTAATCTGTTATTCAGAACACATACAACTGAATGAGCCAGAGAAAGCATTCCCTGTTCTCTGTCTGCATATATAGCTCTATGTAAAGTTTCAGTTAGTGACAGCCAATTAATGAACCACAACTTCTGCACTTTCTTTTCAAATTCTTTCTTTAGAAATATCCACATATAGAGAACAATCCATGAATAAGCAATAAAGTGTACCATGTCTAATGAAGAGAGGCAATAAACTGCTGGACTTTCTGATGAGAAAGCCCAGTATGCTCTGCTCATACTGTATAATGGAAGCACCTTGTATTAAATGTTTATTTTGAAAATATTTATTATAGGCAATTATATTTTTAATACAACTTTAATATGAGCTGACATTTTACAAAAATATTATTTCATTTTAATACAGTTGTCTGATGCATTTGCTTTACAGCCATAGAAAACACCCCATCTTTCTCTTAGTGCAAAGTATTTTCACTGCATTGGAAGTATATACATGTCTATTGTGTATCCACAAATTCCCTGGACTAATTAGCACACCAATTGTTTACAGTGATGAGGTTAAGCACTGATTTCTGATCCTAGTGAACAAAAGATGAAAAATAAGGACAAGTCAGCACTGTAGGGTATAATGACAGCTGTAAAGATGCAAATATCCTCTTCACTTGGACAAACCTTTTCAAGGAACCTTTTAATTGAGCACTTCATTCCTCCACAATATGACAGCAGTGAGTCTGTCAACAGACTCTTTGAACTGCTGCTCATATCCATAGCATTAATGCAAAGCACAGACACGAGACATTCAAAGTTTCCATTGAAAGATTTGTCCATTGGAGGATAGTATTACAATACTGCACATTATCTGAAGTGTGCTACAACATCAACATACTTGTCCTGTTGGAAATATGTAATGGACACTCAGGCATATAGTGAGCTGACATACTGTTAATGGTAATTACTTCTTCAAGGGGGTTCTGGAAAAAAAACCTTGTCATGTGATGGTGGGCTTAAATAGACAATTTGGCAAACTGCACCTTCGTACTTCTGTTTTGTGTTGACTTCTGGAATTATTTAATTCATTTGAGTTTTATATGTATTTATATATGCTGTTTCACCAGCAGTAAAAGGGAATAATTTAAAACCTATTAATTTACTACAAGTTTTTAGTACTTGACCTGAAATTCAAAAATTCCTTCCATTGTCACTTTAGAGAACAATATACAGTTGCAAAACAAATTGTGAGCCCTTCGATTTTTTAGATTTCTGCATAAATGGCATTTAAAAGCGATCTGATTTACATAACACATAATATGAAAAACTGATTAACAAACAGCATACACCAATTTAAACTTTGCCATATCTTTGTTTTACACATGGTTTAACCCTTTCCTGCTTGCAACTTTCACTGTGCATAAGGGTATGGATATGTGAGCCTACATACTTGACAGGAAGCTGCCGACAATATAAACTTCGGGAAACAGACATCGTCTCATAGCTGGCTGTCAGCTATGACAGTGAGCACCTGCTTGACGCCTTATTTACAAACTAAATAGAGGCATGTGCCTCTGTTTAATACTGTAATTTCCAGGTTCAATCACTTCATAAAAATAATTACCGTTTTTACATTTTTGTATAATAAAGCAGCTCCACCGGATGCTAGGTTTCCAGCAAAGTAACACCAGAACTGGGTGTTCTTGTCAACGCCATCAAGGTAGATCTTCCTGTACTTGTGTGAAGGCAAAGTTGAGGGCCTGGGTTGGGAAATACCTGATTACATTGGCAAGGTTACCATGCCAGAAGGACAAGAAACCCTGTTCTTTGGGCATACAAACAACACAGTCTATGATTCCTTTGTATTGCTTCTCAGCTGATTTGTTTGCTTGCATTTTTGGCTTGCAGCAAAAGCTTCACTCTTTTAATGGATGCTACAGTGATCTTGGAGATAGCAGCAGCCATACTGCCGGCCAAGAAGTCCTTGGCGAAGGAGATTGTTGCGTTGGTCATAATGTCGGTTCAGTGTACAGGCAAGTGACTCTTGCTGCAGCATTGAACCTCCGAGAGCTGTATATTTTTGTCTTGCTTCAGATTATGCCATATCTCCAACATGACTGAAGTCAGATATGAGCATTCTCAAACACAGAATTTCTTTTCAAGCTACTTTTTCTTTTAGTTCTAAATGACAGACTGATGCCCTGGTATTCCGCCGTAGACTATAACGATAATTGGTTGTTTATTCATTACAAGCTGGTTAGTCCCTAAGGCAACTAAGCAGCTGCATGACATCATACGCCGTCAACCATGCTTCACAGCTGGAATGAGGAATTGTTTTTACCCTTGTTTTCTCTACCCACTGAACACTGTTCTACTAGTAATGGGAAACATCATATGCATCAGAGAGTTTTGTGGAGAACAGTAGTTTGCTCCCATAAGTATCCCTTTTTTACTATTGTAGAAACATGAAGACATGCGTCTTATGCTAAAAAAAACTCTTTCCTTTTTCCAATATTTACATAAACCACTGTTAAATATAAACTATGCAGCTTATAAGCAACTTAACAATACATAATTGGTGAGCAAAAACGCTACTCTTTGAGGCCCAGGTATTCCACTGTGTTTGCCATCTTGCATCTCACACAGCATGAAGATAAAGCCTGGCTGTATATTACAGCCCATAATTGACACCCATTAATGACACCTCTGTCCATCCTGTGATGGACATACATCATATCAGTGCCCAGGGGAGTGGTTACCAATAAAGATGTGGGCTCTGCATCTCAAAAAGTGTTGAAATCAGTAACAGCTCTACAGTATGTAATCTGTTTAAACTGCACATTTTGCAGAAACAGCTGATGGAGCAGATTATTAAAATACCATTATGCTTACATGCTTGGGGAATGGGAAAGCTCCTGTTGTCACCCTAGGGTTTTTGTCACCTATTTGTGTATGTTGTACCCTTGCACTCTCGTTGTAAGAAATCCACTCCTATAACGAGATGATTCTTGATTTTTAACTTTTGTAAACTATTTAACTGTGAGGTAATGGATTTAGAAATCCTTTTGTAACCCTTTCAAATCTTATAAGATTTACTCTTTTTCTGAGGTACTATAACGTTTCTTTTGATCAGTTCATTTTATACTTCAACAGAAAACTGTTGTGAGGTGCATATTGCCAAAACTGTGTGATTGTTTGTTTTTCTTCTACAACTGGTGAGGTCTAAAGGTGCCCATACACCTTACGATTATCGGACGATAATCGTATGCGATCGACTTTTCGTCCGATAATCGTATGTGTGCATTGCAATGTCCGACCGACAATACTGTACAATCGTACGACTTTTGACGGTCAAGCATGTTTGAAAACTTTGCTAGATCGTATGATTGTCGTAAGGTTGCTGGCGTTTCCGTCCGTCAAAAGTCGTACGATGTACACTGCGCTTGCGCTAACGAAAATACGGCAAATCAATTACCGCATTTCGTCCAGGTGCTTTTGGTTAATTACGGCTAAATGATTCTTGCGATCATCGGGGCAGGATGGGGCTGTCGTACGAAAATCGTACGACTATTCGATCATCGGACGAAAAGTTTCGTCCGATAATCGTAAGGTGTATGGGCACCTTAACACGCATATGACTTGACTGGAACACATGCCACCTTGATGGGAATACCTGAAACCAATTACCCTGTCTTCAAAATGTCATTATCCTGGAATTCAAACACTCCATCATCATCATCATCAGTGACCTTCATTGTTTAAAACACTTGTTCAATAGAAAATACACATAATATATTGCAAAGTATTTTCAATCTGAAATCTAGAAAATTAAGAGTTTAGAAACTTTTTCTTGCAATTATATATTGTAAAGCAAAATACAAGGCTATAGACAGCTTTTGTTACTGGAGAGTTTGCAAAGTTATAAGGTACCCATAGGCCTAGCATCTTTTGCCTGACTTAGCCAGTAAACCTATAGTCATTATAAATATCCAAACTTAAGTTACTGCTAAACAGCAGGCACCATAAGTTAACATATTATACTATATAGAGTCCTCCTAGTACCCCCCCAAAATGCCTTTTTTTATGTGCAAAACATAGACACTCTACCACCCTGACACGGTGAACTGTTAGGTGCATGGGCAGCCTTACACTAGGCTCCAAACTTGCCACTGGAAAAGCACTGAAGGCATGCGCCTTTGCCGATGATAATAGGTTTCAGAAATGCAGTACCTACATCAGATCATTGGGGACTGTTGCACTTGAAGAACCATGATACTGGCTATAGACCAGAAAGTGGTTAGATGGACAGCCATGATCTGACAATTATATGATGAAGGTACAACACCTGGCCTAAACAAGAATGCTTAGATCACACAAGCCACACAATCCCACTCTGAAGTCAGAGTTTTTTTTAGTGAAATCTATAACAATTGGATGTATTCTAACCTCTCTAATTGCATTATCCTGATAAATTTCATGTAGGACAGGCTAGGTGTGATCCATAAATTGTATATCAACAGCTGTATTATGGAATTCCCATGAAATCACTGGATTCATGAAATTGCCATCTATTATCTATAGGCACTTTAGTGGAACAAAGAAGGTCTGACTTGACACTTTTCTAGACCAAAGATTGGCTCTTTTTAAATTTTTTTTATAAGAGTTCAAGAACTAGTGTGTCGTAAAACACAGAGATAAAAGTACATGGCAACTGCACAATTTATAACTAGCCTTTGTATCAAGGTGCACATGGGAGGGCTTACAACAATACAAAACACAGAAGTAGGAGAAAACAAAGTAGTAAAACATAGCAAGCAATCGGAATTCACTTTCCTAAAGACAGACTAGCACAGGCTGGATTATTGCTGGATGATATGGTTATTACTGTTTTTACTGTATTCATTCTAATGCTTCAATAAATCAGTAAGTGTGTGGGGAGTAGTACCTAGCTTTAGGATGCTTTTCTTGTTGGAAAAGTAGCTGCTGAACCTATGAGACACTGCCATCTGCAGGCCAATATCAGGAACAATTCTTTTTTTAGAACTGTCATATACAAGATTGAATACCTACACACCCAAATCTTTTTCAGTCAGTATTTCATTTTTAGTCTAATTTGTTATTTCTGTGACTCTGTAAACCGAATAGTGTTGAATATTGTATTTATAATGTATTTATGTGAAGAAGAAGAAGAAAATGTAACACATCTATATGTCTTTGTATTATCTTTATTTATTTGCAGATGATCATACCAAAGATGAATTGATAGTACCTAAAATCCTGGAGCGACGTTTTGTACCAGCATACCTTAAAAGTGTAGCTTGGGAAGGTTTCAACTATGTGGGTCACGAGATAAAAATAGTAGAATCCACAGACCTCTTTGGTGCAACAGTGTGGCCTTCAGTAAGTATGAAATCATGAGGTCAGTCCATATTTAACTTGAAAGCAGTAAGACCCCCCTTAGTTATAATATAGCTATAATCAGGAGGATCTCTCTCTTTTTATCTCCTTGTTGTCTTCCACTTAGTTTACACTACCAAAAATGCAATAATTACATAAAAACTTACCACATGAAGCGAGAGACTTCATGCTGTGGGAGGGGTGCAGAGCCTAAAACACATTTGGGGAAGTCATTATAATAGGTTTGGGTAGGCTGTCTCTTAAAACCTTAAGACTCTAATTCAGCATGATGTCTAGGATAAAATGGCATGACCGAATCTGTTTCTTTCTACCTTATTGCCTGTACTCATTTGTGCACAAATTCCTTGCTCTACAACCCTGCATCTTTGTCTTAATACCTTAATGTGCATGTTAATCAATTTGGGAGGGAAGTTAATTAATTTGTTATTTAGTTAGTTATGCACAGGAAAGGTTTCACATACCTTTTGACTTTCCTGGTGCACAAGATATCAAACTGTTTAGCAATTTGAGTTGCTTTTGAGGTCTGGAATTTATAAGCCAGGTGATCCAGAACTTTTTCCCTTGATCTAAAGGTGCCCATACACCTTACGATTATCGGACGATAATCGTATGCGATCGACTTTTCGTCCGATAATCGTATGTGTGCATTGCAATGTCCGACCGACAATACTGTACAATCGTACGACTTTTGACGGTCAAGCATGTTTGAAAACTTTGCTAGATCGTATGATTGTCGTAAGGTTGCTGGCGTTTCCGTCCGTCAAAAGTCGTACGATGTACACTGCGCTTGCGCTAACGAAAATACGGCAAATCAATTACCGCATTTCGTCCAGGTGCTTTTGGTTAATTACGGCTAAATGATTCTTGCGATCATCGGGGCAGGATGGGGCTGTCGTACGAAAATCGTACGACTATTCGATCATCGGACGAAAAGTTTCGTCCGATAATCGTAAGGTGTATGGGCACCTTAACACGCATATGACTTGACTGGAACACATGCCACCTTGATGGGAATACCTGAAACCAATTACCCTGTCTTCAAAATGTCATTATCCTGGAATTCAAACACTCCATCATCATCATCATCAGTGACCTTCATTGTTTAAAACACTTGTTCAATAGAAAATACACATAATATATTGCAAAGTATTTTCAATCTGAAATCTAGAAAATTAAGAGTTTAGAAACTTTTTCTTGCAATTATATATTGTAAAGCAAAATACAAGGCTATAGACAGCTTTTGTTACTGGAGAGTTTGCAAAGTTATAAGGTACCCATAGGCCTAGCATCTTTTGCCTGACTTAGCCAGTAAACCTATAGTCATTATAAATATCCAAACTTAAGTTACTGCTAAACAGCAGGCACCATAAGTTAACATATTATACTATATAGAGTCCTCCTAGTACCCCCCCAAAATGCCTTTTTTTATGTGCAAAACATAGACACTCTACCACCCTGACACGGTGAACTGTTAGGTGCATGGGCAGCCTTACACTAGGCTCCAAACTTGCCACTGGAAAAGCACTGAAGGCATGCGCCTTTGCCGATGATAATAGGTTTCAGAAATGCAGTACCTACATCAGATCATTGGGGACTGTTGCACTTGAAGAACCATGATACTGGCTATAGACCAGAAAGTGGTTAGATGGACAGCCATGATCTGACAATTATATGATGAAGGTACAACACCTGGCCTAAACAAGAATGCTTAGATCACACAAGCCACACAATCCCACTCTGAAGTCAGAGTTTTTTTTAGTGAAATCTATAACAATTGGATGTATTCTAACCTCTCTAATTGCATTATCCTGATAAATTTCATGTAGGACAGGCTAGGTGTGATCCATAAATTGTATATCAACAGCTGTATTATGGAATTCCCATGAAATCACTGGATTCATGAAATTGCCATCTATTATCTATAGGCACTTTAGTGGAACAAAGAAGGTCTGACTTGACACTTTTCTAGACCAAAGATTGGCTCTTTTTAAATTTTTTTTATAAGAGTTCAAGAACTAGTGTGTCGTAAAACACAGAGATAAAAGTACATGGCAACTGCACAATTTATAACTAGCCTTTGTATCAAGGTGCACATGGGAGGGCTTACAACAATACAAAACACAGAAGTAGGAGAAAACAAAGTAGTAAAACATAGCAAGCAATCGGAATTCACTTTCCTAAAGACAGACTAGCACAGGCTGGATTATTGCTGGATGATATGGTTATTACTGTTTTTACTGTATTCATTCTAATGCTTCAATAAATCAGTAAGTGTGTGGGGAGTAGTACCTAGCTTTAGGATGCTTTTCTTGTTGGAAAAGTAGCTGCTGAACCTATGAGACACTGCCATCTGCAGGCCAATATCAGGAACAATTCTTTTTTTAGAACTGTCATATACAAGATTGAATACCTACACACCCAAATCTTTTTCAGTCAGTATTTCATTTTTAGTCTAATTTGTTATTTCTGTGACTCTGTAAACCGAATAGTGTTGAATATTGTATTTATAATGTATTTATGTGAAGAAGAAGAAGAAAATGTAACACATCTATATGTCTTTGTATTATCTTTATTTATTTGCAGATGATCATACCAAAGATGAATTGATAGTACCTAAAATCCTGGAGCGACGTTTTGTACCAGCATACCTTAAAAGTGTAGCTTGGGAAGGTTTCAACTATGTGGGTCACGAGATAAAAATAGTAGAATCCACAGACCTCTTTGGTGCAACAGTGTGGCCTTCAGTAAGTATGAAATCATGAGGTCAGTCCATATTTAACTTGAAAGCAGTAAGACCCCCCTTAGTTATAATATAGCTATAATCAGGAGGATCTCTCTCTTTTTATCTCCTTGTTGTCTTCCACTTAGTTTACACTACCAAAAATGCAATAATTACATAAAAACTTACCACATGAAGCGAGAGACTTCATGCTGTGGGAGGGGTGCAGAGCCTAAAACACATTTGGGGAAGTCATTATAATAGGTTTGGGTAGGCTGTCTCTTAAAACCTTAAGACTCTAATTCAGCATGATGTCTAGGATAAAATGGCATGACCGAATCTGTTTCTTTCTACCTTATTGCCTGTACTCATTTGTGCACAAATTCCTTGCTCTACAACCCTGCATCTTTGTCTTAATACCTTAATGTGCATGTTAATCAATTTGGGAGGGAAGTTAATTAATTTGTTATTTAGTTAGTTATGCACAGGAAAGGTTTCACATACCTTTTGACTTTCCTGGTGCACAAGATATCAAACTGTTTAGCAATTTGAGTTGCTTTTGAGGTCTGGAATTTATAAGCCAGGTGATCCAGAACTTTTTCCCTTGTCCATTTCCAGTCTTCAAGGAATTCAGGAGCAATTTGGAAATACACAGTTTTTATTAACTTGTGTTGGTGTCATCAGTAAAGCAGTTTGAAAAAGGCCTTTACTTTATCTGTGAGGCTTACTTTACTGTTGGATTGATCACTTGCAATATTAGAGAAATTCCATTTCTCATAGTCAAGGCCTTATTTGTAGCCCCTTTTCACAGCCAACACTAGCTTTTTTTGAGCACTATGACACATCAGTGTTCTTCATTAACAAAGTCTGCCTGATCAAATATAACATTTAAAAAATGTAAATACTGGATCAAAAGTACAGATTTGGAAGATGAACTTATACTAAGAAATGATGATGTTACTGATGATAAAATACATAGCGCTTTAGTCAGAGCAGCACCAGAAGTGTGCCCCCTTGGCCACCTCCAGTGCCGGCCTGCTGATTTGTGTTCTTCTTCCGATAGCTCCATCACTAGAGCCAGAATCATGCTCACCGGGAACTATACTACAAGGGAGTAGACTTAGGAAGGAGGGTCTGACATGTTGGGAACAACATGGCAGTTGACAGCAGAGCTTCAAAAACAGTCAGGATGGGGGGTAGACTGGGAGTCATAAGAAAGGCAACACAGCTGGGCAGAGTGATGGGTTGTAGCTGTGCCATAGTAGGTTAAGGCATACATAGATGTTGGCAGGAGGGGATGGGGTTATTATGGCTGCCAATGACCTCAATGCTGGGGCTGATTTCACTCCAACACAACAACATATTATTATTATTATTCCTAATACCTTCAAGGCTTTCCTCCTGTTAAAATTTAGGATGTGATTCTGTGGGGGTGTGTTTTTTGTGGGTATGGTAGTAAGTGGGCCTGGACAGTTGGTGTCCCCGGATTTCATTTTGAAAATCCTGGTAACCTTAAATTAAGAAACCTGCATTAATTAACAGTTATAAACAACACACATCCAACAGCTTTTATATTTGTAAAGAAGAATTTAGTTGTTGGCTGCACACTACAGCATTCATATTCATACCTAAGATATAAAGTACATGCACTATCCCTGCAACAGCCGAGTTGTTATAGACATCTAATAAATGTAAAGAATGTGCTTAAAGCATGGTTGAGGTTTTTATAAGGGAGAATGGGATGGATAGCGGGATACCATGTAGACTTGTAAATGCATTATAAATGCTGCACTCCTTAAACACAATGTTTTTCCAAGTCAAGACATCATTTTAGAAACCTTAGAACTGTATATTTGTATTCACAGAACATGCTAAGGAGTATTGGGCTTTCTGACATTTGTGATACAGAATCCTTTATATGGTAGGCACTAGAAGGATGCATCATATTTGGGCATAATTACTGTACTGTAATACAGACTATATATGTGACAATATGTCCAGTTAATAATGTATATTTACTTAAAAAAAATAATATCACTAATGTGTCACTAAAATGTACCTTATAATTGAGTTAAATGTGTAAATACAAGATTACTAGTATGTATATTTGAACTTTTAGTATAACTTGAGATTGGTAATTTATTGTTTACAGTTAATAAGCTTTATACAACCGATTGCCTTGGTGATTGATAATGAATGTGTTCTGAGGATTGGTGTATGCTACTTCAAAAGAAGAGGTTGAAAATATACACACTATACTTTGAGAGAGCTGGCAAAACCAGAAAAATGTCAGGTTTTTCTGTTTGGATCACAGATGTGTAGATGTAGATGTTAACTTAATTGCTTTCTTCTGGCATTACTTCCATTAGTTCCAATCTAGTGAAGGTTTTCAGTACTGCATAGACAACTACAGTACTATGCGCTCTAGGAAGTTTATTTTATTTTATACTTGACCAACATCTTCTGATGTGTATTTGTCATCTCCACAGGCACTTGTACTTTGTTACTTTTTGGAAAAACACGGAAAGCAGTTGGGTTTAGAGGACAAATGCATAATCGAAATAGGGTCTGGAACTGGGCTAGTTTCTATAGTAGCTACTTTACTAGGTAAGTATGGCTTAAAATGGAAGTAAAGTTCTTTTTTTTTTCCCTTTTAATGCTGACAAGTAGGATTTTTTATGACAGAGGAGACTATGTATGTCTCTTTTGTCATAACTGTTCCTCCCTGCCTGTCAGGGCTCGTGTGCCATAAGCCGCAGGTGCATCTCAGCAAGGTCCCATGCCCAGATGAAGTAACACCCGTGAGAATGCTTCGGTACAAATCCTTGGGCAGGTAAAACTGCTCTGTTATATATGCATTCCATCTGTGTATTTACCTGTTTGCCTAGAGTTCAGCTTTAGTCATTGTAAAGATTATACATTAAATAAAGGTTTACCCCTAAAAAACTGTTTATATACTGTATGTAGATATATTGGATACAAACTAAGTCTTGTTTTCACTTTGACTTTTGACACTTATTTTCCTTTTGCAGGAGCACAAGTCATTGCAACAGACCTAGAGGATCTGATTGGAAACCTGCAGTATAATGTTGTGCGAAATACAAAACTGAAATGCAAACATGCCCCACAAGTTAAAGAGCTAACCTGGGGATCCAATCTGGAGGAGAAATTTCCTAAATCCTCCTCAAACTTTGACTACATCCTTGCTGCTGATGTAGTGTACAACCACCCGTCCCTGGATGAACTTCTGGAGACATTTGATCACTTGTGTCAAGAGAAGACCATCATCCTGTGGGCTATGAAATTCAGAAAAGAGAATACCCTCCTTCAAAACACATTTTTTCTCAACTTTCAGAAAATGTTTGACATGGAGGTTATCTATGATCTGCCCAGCCTAAGTATAAAACTTTACAAGGCAAGACGAATATGTACTTTTACTGAATAAAGATGGATATGGATAAAAAGAGGGCATTTATAGATATTCAATATACAACTAAGAAATCTACTTGGTCACCATATAGGACAAAAGATCCCTCAAACTGAGCTGCATCAAAACCTGAGATCAAATCATTTTTGTCAACAAATAATCTCAAGAAAATGATAAAAGATTAACTTGTTTCAGATGCTAAAACATTCAATATAGACAGTTTGCAGCTAAAGAAGATCTGATAATGTTACTAACATAGAAAACTGTCCTTTCTTTTATAAATAAAAGTGGAGCCAGCACTATATATTATAATTATGACATGCCTATATTGGTGATTTTTTTTACATTTTACTTGAAACTGACAAAACAGTTCTAGAGAAATACAATCATCTATAGTAGTTCATGTAGTAGGCATGTGTATATGAGGTGGTAGTTTTTCTCAGCACTTAATGCACATACTGTGCATTATTATGAGCCTTGGTTATGTGTAATTTTATATGCTAACATTAGCATACCATTGTATAAGGCTTTTACAGCGATCATAAACCTGGTATTTACTGTGCAGTGAAATGCTATGCATGACACACAAAGTATATCCTTACTGTATGTGTTATGTCACACATGCCTAGTGTTTACACTCGTTAAATTCTATATTGGTCACATACTATGAAGTAATGTGTGAGCACCCTTTCCCTGGCTAGAATAGGATAGTGGAATTACACAGTGTTCTTGCTTCTTTCAATAATGTGCCTTTTGGAAGTGTCATATTATCACTCTAGTGCTGTGTGATTTCATATTGTTTGATGTAATGTTGCAGCTCCATAGTACATAGGATAATGAACTGCACAGCTTTTATTCTCAGAAGAGAGATGGTGCTGGATAGAGGAAGAACTGTCTGGTCATTTGGCTTTATGTCAATCTGTATTGTACTGCTATAACCAGGGCCGTCCCTATAATGAGGCAGCCTGTTGCCTCAGGCAACATCTCTTTGGGCCATGTGGGGCGGGGGGTGTAGGCAGAGCGGCATGGCCAGTGGCGTAGCGTGTGTGTGTGTGTGTGTGTGCGGGGGGTATTTTTTTTCTTTATGTCGTGGGGCTTCAGTGAAATATTAGAGGTCTAAGCAGACCCCTAATATTTCTCTTTTGAAATACACAGACATTGAGGACACAAAGTCCATAGTCTCCTTTTCTACAGCCTCACCACTGAATGAACTGAAGCATTTAGTACAGGGGCTTGCTGTTCATTCACAAATTGAGGAGGCATAGTACTCTCCCCAGTTATGAATGGACAGGATGCCCCTATACAGAGTTCTCCTGTACTGTCCGTTCAGAAACTGAGTACATAGTAAGTGATTACTATGTTGCCCAGTCATGAATGAGCACTTCCTGCTCATTCATAAATGGGGACATAGTAAGCTTACTACATCCTTAGTTATTTACAAACACCACAGTGATCAGTTCCGATCAATGTAGTGTTTTCTCAGTGCATGGAAGTATCAGCAAATATTTCACATATTTGCTGATCCTCCACTTAGCATCCTGAAGCTCCACCTGCCCCACACACAGGGCTGCCATCAGGGGGTATGGCCGACACTGATGTCAGGGGGGCCCAACAGTGCCGGTCCTGCGGCAGGAGAGGCCGGGCCCCAGCAGCGCCAGTCCGGCAGCGGGAGAGGCTGAGCTCCAGCAGTGCCTGTCCAGTGGCGAGAGAGGCTGGGCCCAAGTATCGCTGGTACGCTAGCGGAGAGGCCGGGCCCCAGCAGTGGCAGGTAAGGAGCTGTGTGTTCTGGGAAAGGGCCTCCAAACAGGCCACTTAAGACCCTGCAGAGCCCTCCATAGAGAGTCTCAGATGGGTTGTGCAGGGTCTATGGTGTGCTCCGCAGGGTCACTCTCAGACGGGCTGTGTGGGATCTTGGGTGGGCTCTGCGGGGCCTCGGTGGGTCCAGATTCCAGCGCGTTACTAAGTCCAGAATCCAGCGCATTAATAGTCCAATGCATTTGTAAGTCCAGAGTCCAGTGTGTTACTAAGTCCAGAGTCCTGTGCATTACTAAGTTTAGTGCGTTACTAAGCCCAGCGCAAAACAAATGACAAACGCACTCAACAATTTGTCACCAGTTATACAGTAAGGTGCACACGAAATGGGCTTTAAACAGTAAAACAGTAGAAAGGTATTATGGCACACTCACAAGCCAGCATGTAAAAAAACTTGTCTCACCACTAAGGTTAATAACAGAGGTTTGGATACACGTCTTCTGCAGAAAATGTGAAAGCCGCACAGCCGCGCCAAGGCACCTCTTGTAGTGCGGTCCTAACTCTAAACTATGAGAGTCTCCATCTTGTAGCACATGGGGGCAGAAAATTTCAAATTGGGTGCAGGTTTGTCAGGAGGAAGCCCGACCTCCCTTAAAGGCACAGGAACACACAAGGGATCCCGCACAAGTTTTTTTACATGCTGGCTTGTCATTGTGCCATGATACCTTTCTACTGTTTTACTAAGCCCAGCGCATCACAAAGCCCAGTGTCCAGCGCGTCACTAAGTCCAGAGTCCAGTGCCTTACTAATTTTTTCTTGAATAAACAAAATGCTTACAGTGAAGGTGGCTTTTGTTTGGGAAACTCCATTTTCAAAATTGAATGTTGAATTAAATTTCAACTGATATTCTTTAAGACTCTGATGCCATTATCAAATGTTCTGACAAAGTTTTTCATATGATTGTACATATGTAAATCTACCAGTGTATGGCCAGCTTTACACAGGGCTAAAGACTCTGCCCCAGTCCCCGCATTACAGATTGGTGATCAGTCGCTTAGGACCTTAACTACCTCCCGGCCGGCCGTTGTGTATACACGGCCGGCCGCAAGCTTCTTGGATGTAACTGGGCGTGTATACACGTCCTGTTACATCTGCCCGCTCGGGCGCGGGAAATCCCCGCTATTTGAACACAGGCAGCGATGCCCGTTAATATACAAGTGATCCGCCGGCTATAGAGCCGGCGGATCGCTGGTACGAGGTCCCGTGACGTGCGCCCTCCACGGCTAACCCCTCTCGCTGTCAAGCTGGTCCTGGGCTCCGGTGTGAGCCCGGGACCAGCATACTGCCTCTGTCACAGGGGATCAGAGGGAGCTCGGTTCACGATCTCCCTCCGGTCCCCTCTCCGCTGTCAGAATGCGGAAGTGGTGTATATTACATCACTTCCGCATTCTCGTGTCACTCTCCAGCTTCAGATGCTGGAGAGAAGCTGATGAAGCAGATCTCTGCTTCTTCAGGGGGGTCCTAGGTGACATTAGAGGTCTTGGAGACCCCTGATGTCTCCATAAAGAGGACCTTTCACATATTTTGCTATCACATAGAGGGGTTTCTCAGCCCCCTCTGTGATAGCAATAAAGTTAAGTGGCAAAAAAAATAGGAAAAAATGTTAAAGTTTCCCCCCAAATTTTTTTAAAGTTACACATGAAAAAGAATTAAAAAAAACAAAATTTGTTTTTTAAAGTCCCCATCCCTACATACACGCATGTAAACATGTGTCAGGTGCGCATACCTGCGAAAACGACGATTGCGCCCATTACGCCGCACATGTTACATATCGCCGCGAACGTCGGAATGAGAGCAATAATTTTGGGGCCATCAATCACTGATAACACTAAACTGATGAGCTGTAAAAGCTTTTAAAGCGTCGCCTATGGCCAATTTTGGGTATGCTAGTTTTTTGCCATTTCGCGAGTGCGCGCAATTTTTAACCTTGACATGTTTGGTGTCTATTTACCCGACGTGACCAGATCTTTTACATTTTACCAAAAAAGTGGGTAATATTAGTTGTTTTATAACATAATGTAAAAAAATAAACTTTTTTTTTTCAAACTTTTCAGTAATTTCTCCTGGATATAGTAAAAAATAAAACCCCCAGTGGTGATTAAATACCACCAAAAGAAAGCTCCATCTGTCCCAAAAAAATGGTATAAAATTCATTTCAGTACAGTGTTGCATGACGGAATAAATGTCAGTCAAAGTAATGCAGCGCTGAACACTGAAAAATGGCCTGGACAGGAAGGGGGTCTAAACACCTGGTCTTCAAGCGGTTAAATGAAAAAAGTGAGAGTACATGTTTTTTAACATCAGCCTGCAACTATATAATTTCCCCACAAAGCCATATCCAAAACATAGGTTACAGTAACTACCTTACAATACAAAAGAAAATTGGGTGCAGAACTGCAATGACATCAGATATCACCTTTAGGAACCTGAAGATCACAGCCAGCCACTAACAACTCAGCAGAGACCTCCCTTAGCAAACAGTATTTGTACACTAGTTGTAGGCCGTGATTCATGACATCAAGGCCATTCCTACCATGACACTTTGAATATTTTGATCCTCAAGCAGCAAAATATCATTATAGAACCTCCTTATCTCTGCCAACATTTAAGGCCTGTTGACACTGTTTTGTCGCACTAAATGCACAGTACAGTGTGTTTAGCGCTTGCTATTGCACAGCACAGCTATCATGTGGCACTGTGCGCTAGGTGTGTTGCATTGCCATTCATTTAAGTGTCACTCCAATGCAACTCCCAGTGCTGTGAGTTGCATTGCAACAAGTAGTGCTTACACTTAAATATAGCATCAAGTGACTTATAAAGACAGGAGCTTGAAAAAATTAGCTGTGAAGCATGCAGGTGTTTTTTTAACTGCAATATTTCCTCACCAGGAGGCGTCTCAAAGCTGAATTCCAGCACAAAAACCTTTACTGAAATATATTCATCAGTTGCCAAAGTGGTTATAAATCATTTTATGGACTATTTGTTAAACCCAGGTATTACCATATGAAAGTAGCAGTGACATCATCACTGTGCTGCAGATAACTTGTACAGAGAACAGAAATGTGGGAGGGACCCAGCAGTCACCAACCACTAGAGGCTCCTGGATACAATTCATCCTACAAAGAGAGAGAGAGAGAGCAGCGAGTGGGCTGATTTTGTTCCAAACTCTGGGAAGTGGAGGCCACTGTAGAAAGGGAAACCAGGAG